TGTCAGAAACAGAGCTCGACGAGAAGAGGAAGAAACGACAGGAGGAGTGGGAGAAAGTCAGAAAACCGGACGACCCCGAGGGTAAGGACACGTACACCCAGGCAGAGAGGTTGAGTCAAAGGTCAAAGTAGCGCCTACCTGTGTTCCATGATATCTGTCTGCGTCCACTCTGTCCAGAGGCTCCAGAGGAGGAGTACGACCCCCGGTCCCTCTTCGACCGACTGCAGGAGCAGAAGGACAAGAAGCAGGAGGAATATGAGGAGCAGTTTAAATTCAGTGAGTTTCACACAAACACAGTCAGTGAAGTTCAACTCTGCAGGAGTTCATCTGAAGCCGACATTAAACTTCATCTCAGGGTTTTTTAAATTTTATTTTTAAACTCTGACAGGTTAAGGTTACTCGTCCGTTGACTGATAGCACTCTATTATGATGGGTTTGTTGTTGTTGCTGCCGCCGCCGTGTTTTTTAAGCGCATGTTTGTTTCCATGGCAACAGAGAACATGGTGAGAGGTTTGGACCAAGATGAGACCAGTTTCCTGGACGAGGTCTCCCGGCAACAGTGCCTGGTGGAGAAGCAGCGCAGGGACGAGGAGAAGCAGGAGCTGCTGGAATACCGAATATCCTTTCAGCCAGAGTGTGTGTTCAACCGGCCAATGGTTGTCGTCAGATATTGTTAATTAAAAAATTCTCAGAAAGTGGTTAATTAATCTGAATACCTGCTGTTAGTTTGACTTTTAGGGAAAAAAAAGCAATTTATTGTAAAAACCCAAACATGCCTCTTACATCAAAGCAGTGTTTTCCAAAGTGGGGGGCGGGAACGCCCAGTGGGCATGGAGCTACTGCAGAGAGGGCACAGGCAGATGAAGATTAAATTTCAAATTTTATTTAACCACTGCCCCACTATAGCGGTATCGGTTGATATCACAATCGGAAATTAAGTGTTTGGACAATATCGGACATTCCTAGAAGAAATGGATGTTCCACTGTGACCAGGAAGAGAGTTGAACTCTTTCAGAGGGATTGTCCTCCCCTCTGTAGCAGCACAGCTTCAGCTGGAATTTGAGTTTGTCACCTCCAGTCACGTTGTTAATGTGAGGAAAAAAAAAGGTGCAGACAAGAAGCAGATGTGTCGCACAGACTCGACTCCCTGAAGTAACCGTCACTGATGACGAGTGAGATTTTCCCACCGAGTCGTTAGTCTGTCGCCTCTCTGACGGTTCTGTATCAGCCCGACTGAAGAGTGAAGTTGTTTCCAGGTGTTTCTTTCTCGCTGTTGAAGAGACGTGTGACATGTGACTCACAGGGTTGGTGTGTGAGAAGCAGCGTTCAATCGGAAACAGAGTCAGGCTCACACACACACACACACACACACACAAAATCAAAACATCGAACAGTCCCGTGTTCACCTAGGATGCTGCTGAGTCGACATGCATCATGGGAGATGTAGTTAAATGTAAACACACTTTTTCTCCACATCCCCAGGTTGTTTTTTAGTTGGGTTTTTTTTTTGGTAAGTTGCTGTTCTCCCCCGCTCCCCTCGATCACGCTGCTGCTCCCCTGTCCTTGCAGAGCGACATCTCTGACTGACAGCTCTGTCTGCAGATGAAGAGAAAACAGGTTGTCGTGGAAACTGCATCCTGGTCTTGTAGCTATGTGAGGATCTTAGAGCTGTTGCTTTGCTGCTGTGAACTCAGTGGTTACACGTTTGGTGGAAACACAGCTGCACCAGGAGACTGTCCCACCAGCCCCTCCTCGACACCCCCCCCCCCCATGTGTGTCTCATCCTGCCCCTGTTTTACACAGGACACATCCCTGTCCTTCCTTTAGTCTCTTTATCTCTCTCTCTGTCGGACTACTTTTCTGAGCCTCTCAGAACTGTGCCACGCTTCCCTTCACCGTGATGAAGCGATCAGAACGGCTCCTCCTGCAGGTGGAGGGCAGAAGGCGGCTCTCCAAACTGACTTAGTTTCCATGTTTTATAAACTGAAGCCCCTTTCTTGTCGTCTCTCCGAGTCTGTGTGACGTTGTCTTGACCTTAACCCCGCTCTGACACAGCGCTGTGAAGAAACAGGCTCAAACTCAGGTCGGTGAAAACCGCCGAGAACCTGAGAAGAAGGCAGCAGCGGCGCCCAAACAATCGGGGTCCGAGCAGCGGACCAGTCACCTGTCACAGGCCCATTTGTTGGCCGGAGCTGTGAAGAGACGCAAGTAGGCACACACTACTGTAATAATACTACTGGCTACTGCAGTACCGGTATACCCTCTAAGATGGTTCTCTCTGTCTCAGTTCTAGTTCCTCCCAGTCGACGGAAGGCAGTAAGAAGCAGAAGTCTGAAATCACAGACACAGGAAACGGAGACAGACACACAGGTGGGCTGCAGCCTCAAGGCTGAGAGGAGAAGAGTCTGAACGACGGTAAATTTGAATCCATCGCTCAGTCACTCAGTCTGCACTGGTTACAGACTCATTTTCCTGGAAACCCTGGAATGTAATGACCACATTCCTAATGATAGAAAACATATTGCAATAAAAACATTTTTAAATGTCCCGGAACATAAATCTACTGCTTCAACAGGAGAAATATTAAAAATACAGTATCACGGTGGGCCTAGCGCCCCCATGTGACACTAGAAGACAATCGTATTTACAGTCCGGTTAAAAAACGCTGTAAGGGTCGTTCCCAACTTAATCGTATTTACAGTCCGGTTAAAAAACACTGTAAGGGTCGTTCCCAACTTCCTAAGAGTTCTAGTTCTAGTACTGAGTTCCTCTTCTGTATCTGAGTCTTCGGTCCGATGATGAAAATGTCGCTCACTGACTGACTGTGTGCTCCTGTCGTTTAGAGCAGGAGTCTGGACCAGCCAGAGGAGGAGGAGGAGGCGCAGAGGGAGAACCACAAACAGTACCGGGACTCGCGGCCAAGACCAGCCCGGCTCCTCTGACCTCCAGTCCGGGTGTGTTACACCTGCCGTCAGCAGCCATGTGTGTCGGCGTTTTACCAGGACTCTGTGTTTATTCAAGCAGCAGCGACTCCAACAGCAGCTCGGACAGCGAAGGTAGCGTGGACGCAATCATGATGCCGTACCCGCGGCACAGCAGGGCTTACAGATAGACACACCAACACACACACACACGTCCTGACGTTAGAGTGGTGTTTTTTTGAGATGTTGAAAAATAATTCTACAAACTCACAGTTCATAAATGTAAAGTAGTTCCAGAGGAACACACACACTTACACACACAGGTGGTGGTGGTGGTGGGGGGGCTACACAACGTACATTATAGTCGCACACTGGCAACACACACACAAACAGGAATAAGTCAGTCAAAAAGTCCTCAGACAGATGTGTTGATTTCCTGCAGATGTTATATTGTATAATGGCTAAAAGAAACCAGTTCAGACCGGTTGAAGCTCATCAGCAGGTTTGGATCTAGAACCTTCTGAAAAAAAACTCAAAAGAACATGTAAAGTAAGTGGACTTGAGTCCTCAGACCGGACTGAGACACAGGTCTCAACCTGTTGTCAGAGACGTCCTCCAGAGTTCTCTCCTGGAAACGCTACTACAGGTCAACCACTAGGGTTGTCTGGGGACTTTTTGACTGCCGCTCAGTGACAGTTTCTTTTTTTTTCCCTCTGATTTTCACAGCCGTGAGTTCAAACTCTGACCAGAGTTTCCAGTTCGCCTCACTCCAAACCAGTGCATTTATCTGTGTGTTTATTATTTATTTCCGTTTGTGACAATCTTCACCCCCCCTCCCTCCTCCCCCCTGCCCCAACTTCCTTTCCTTTTCCTTCCTTCCTTCCCTAAACCACATCTCACGCAGTTTAAGGGCGAGCGACCAAACCCTGCGCTGCCTACCCCGACGACATCCAGCCCCCCTTCCCTTCAACCCCCCCATCCCAACCCAAGCCACAGCGACTGCAAGCTGTGCTATTGGCTGAGGGAACAGTGATTGACAGCTGTGGAGCGAGGAAGAGACCGCGTTAGGCCGCGTCACATGACTCACACCTTTTTAGCTTTCAGCGAGCAGCAGAGGAGAGAGAGACACTTGACTTTCTCTCTGTCGGGGACAAATAGAACGAGTGAATGTCTGTCCACCAGTCAAATGTGAAGCTTTTGGTCAATGATCATGTCGGAAAGAGTAACTGTTGTCTCAGGTGATGATGAGGTCTGAGCAGAGACAAATAAATAAAACTGTCCCCTGTGATCTGTCTTCACTGTGTCCTTTCTGGACAGGAAACTGTCTCTACACATGAATCGTGTCACTGCACAATAACTACTGTACAATAACAGTAAAAAACTGTTCTACACACCGCAGTTAAATCATCTTCAGTTCGTACCAATTAGTAGTCACTAGAACTGTTTAAATCGAAGTCAGGTTACCTAATTTCCCGAAGGGAACTCCCGAGGGATTAACAAACATCTATTGATCTATCAATGTATCGATCTATTTATGTTCTCTTGTAATAAGCCTGGGGTCATAGGTGGAAGGTGTGCAGCAGGGGGCACTGTCTTCAAACACCCATGGATCTACCAGTGTTTTCATCACAGTAACCACGGTACGCTGTGATATACGATATTATGATATTCTTGGATATACGTTTAAAGTTCCGATAACAAAAAAAAAAAAAAAATCAGCGCACCGGAGACACTGGTTCACAGTACATAGCAGGTCCTTTGGTACCAAAACCAGCGACAGACTCTCGAGGTAATCCCATTATCCCAGCCTCCAGATTCTGCCCCTAACTGACACTGGTTCTCCTGAGACCATTGATCCGTCTTTACGCCAGTCCCACTGGAACCACAGCGTGTTTATCTGCACGTAGAGAGGGCAGGTCCCGATCTCTGCGGCGTAGAACTAATTACGTCTGGTTCATTGGGAGAGGTGTGTCTCCGAGGACAACCTATTCCTGTTGTTTTCCCTCGAGAGGCTCATTCTTACAGTCCATGTTCGAAAAAGGAGCAGAACTGGGACAGGACCAGTGTCGTACAGAGTAGTTTTCAGCTAGACCAATATTATGTACAAAATATAATATAACTAGTCGTCGTTGTATCCTCGATAACGTCACTACGGAACTAGTCGTCGTTGTATCCTCGATAACGCACGTAGCAACAAACCCACGACAACAATTCAGTCACAGCTGCCACACATTTAACGTCAAAAAGTATCAACAACAACATAAAATAATTACAATAGCTGCTATTAAAAACACAGAATACATTTTACTCACCAAAACATTGATTAGTCCTTTTCTATCGCTATCCATGCTAATGCTAAGTCGAGTCTGTCGTGTCGTAATAATGTCATACGTTTTAAATCGCTTTCAGTAGAAAATGTCCGCTCGACAGAAGCAGTTGAAGAGAAAACTTTTCGCGCGTTACTAACGGCTCTAATTTGCTCGACTCCAACACGTCCTTTGAGCACCCAATCAAATCACTCAAATAGCCTACGTACCTGTAGGCCAACTAGCAGGCCTTGTTGTGGCCAACTCAATATCTGATTGGTTAAAGAAACAATCTTCTTTTCACGGCTCCCAGCGCAAGCGCTACTGACAAGAGCTTTAAGGGCAGATTTCTTTCGCCCTAGCAACACATGAGACTGAAATATGAAATATGGTTAAAAAACTTTACGATTAGAAGTAGCACAGTAATAATCACGATTAATGGTGATTAATCACAAACAATTAATAATCCAAAATTTAAACCTGTAAATAGTCTGACATCCCTAAAGTAAACACATCAGTTTGAAGCCTGGATTTGTTTTTCTTGGGTAGTGTAAAACTTTTTGTATTTAAAATGGGCAGCTGCTCAGCTTGTGCGGATAGAAACAGCTGACCCATGTGATCCTCTGGTCAGTTTATTCACCTGAGCGCGGACATTGAAACAACTTTATAAAATCAATATCACGTTTGATACAAAGATACACAGTAAAACACAGACAGTCTACACGCAGCACTGCATAAAAAGTACATGAAAAACTGTATCAGCTTTGATCAGAAACAGAGAAATATACATTCAATATACTGTACATGCTTTAATCACGTGTTCGTTTCCACACTGTAAACGTTTAATAAACATTTAATTAGGGATGTCGATATTATCGGTCCGATATTAGCATAATAATGTAATATCTGTAAAAAAAAATCGTTATCGGAAAACCTGATAAGGCAATGCCTGGGTTTCGCCAAATGATGTGCGAACTAAAAGTAGTTTTTTGGGGAAAAAAAGGATGTGCGAACTAAAAGTAGTTTTTTGGAAAAAAAAAAAGGCTGTATAAGTGAAAGTCACTAGATGGCAGCATTGCAGCTCATTTTTATTAATCTATTTGTATAAATATCACCAGACCTATATCGTTATCAGTTGATATCGGAATTGGATATTAAGTGTTTGCACAATATTGGGATATGGGAAATCGGCAAAAGGTTAATATCGGACATCCCTACATTTAATACTCAATTTTTCATACGATCTGGTATTTACAAAATCTTATAAATGAATAAAAATCATGCTTCTTTTTCTTAAATCATTAGCACAAACCTGTAAACAGAGGGGAATACTGGCACCATGCAGGGTGAAGCAAAGTCAAGGAAACAGCTTCATATTTAACACCGAGATGAGTTTGTTCTGGAGTTCTCCGTCGTCTCTCCTCCATCCTGAGTCACTGCTCTCATCCTCACTCAAGACCTGGTTTTTCCTCTGACCTGCTTCTCTTCAGTCACATTAACACCACCGACCTGCTTTTTTTTTTTTTTTTTATTTCCTGCCGTCATCTGTTCTGCTGCCCTGACACAGATCCATACGACGGCAGGAGAGGATTCAACCCAGATCAGACAAGGCTTTTACACCAAGTTGTTGTTTGTATGGCGTGGACACACACACACACGCACACACATGCAAAAAGCAAAGAAATGAACAACATCCAGATGAATCAGGAGTTTCTTCCCCCCTTCTCAATGTCCTGCATATTTAATGATTTGAAGACACCTGCAGTCCCTTCAGACATGCAGAGTCTCGAGAACATCACCGTGAAGCTGTGTCGCTGCAAGAGTTTAGAGAAAACACGTCACTTCTGACGGACTCACGCTCTGGTGCTTCATGATGTGGTTTTCACTCACGTGGTCGTACAGAGTTTGTCGTTGAGAAGATGAGATGTTGTTGTTGAGCTATGGTACAGTGCGGAGGCCGTGTCGGCCCCCTCGTCCCCCCTGTGTCTTCACTCCGGTGCCTGGTTGATGGGCGGGACGTTCCTCTGTTTGAAATACTGCGTGACCTGCTGAGGGAGCTCGGCCAGAACGGACTTGGCCAAGGTCTCCTTTGGAGCCTGAGAGAAAAAAAACAGCGGGGGCAGCAGGATGAGTTTGATCTGGTGATGTAGTCGAAGGAAGTAAATGTTACTTTACTACCAGACTCTAACTAATGATGAAAGACTTACGTTTGTGCTTGTACTCCAATGTATGAAAACTCTAATCTATAATTCAGTTATTTCACTTGAACCACAGTTGTCTTTATTTATTTATCTGTTCAAACCACTGTATGAGTACCTGATTAATAAAATGAGCCGCAATGCTGCCATCTAGTGGCTTTCACTTTCATATACCGCTGTTTTTCCCCAAAACTATTTTTAAGTCACACATCATTTATCTAAACCCAGACAATGTGTTATCGGGTTTTCATTATCGGAGGAAAAAAACGTTAACGATTCAGATTACATACACAATATTGTCTGTGTCTGCTGATATTATCGGACACCCCCTCCCACATACCTTCTTCTCTCTTCATCCTGATTGGTCTCAGGAGTTTGAGTGAGTTCCTGGCTCCGGTGAAAACACAGCGTTGTTAAAACTGTTCATTTAAGTCAATAATTTCTATTAAGAAAACACTTAGCCAACAACTCCAACCTACGGCTGTTGCTGCTAACTGAGCAGCTTGTGGTTCCAGGTCACTCTCATTAGTGTGTTTCCTCTCTCTCTTTTTCTATCGCTCTCTCTCTCTCTCTCTCTCCATGTTCTCTCCTGTTTGTGCTTGTTGTCTCTCGCCCTCCCACCGAACAAGCATCAAATGGGAAGGAAGCCAAAGGAACACTGTCTGTTCCTCCCACAACAAAGGAAGTCAGCTCACCCACTGCTACCCCCCCCCACACACACACACCAATACAAAAATATACTTAATCTGTCGTGGTGAACAAAGCCTAAGAACGCAGGCGTACACACAGAAACACGCGCTAATTATTAATAACCTGTTTACTCTCTCTTACTTCACACATGCTCAACAAATGGTGCCCACATGTGACCATGCACAGAACACACACACATACACACACAGGAGGATTCAAACAGCCCTAAAGCCAAGCTACTGTCAAGAAGAGACTCCATCCACGAGCAACAGTAGTAGTAGTAGTACTAGTAGTAGTACTAGTAGTAGTAGTACTGGGCTGTCAAAACAACACATCATTGTCTTATTTTAATCAATGTTCACACACATTGTTATTTACGCAGACTGTGGGGAAAAAAGTTTTCGTTTCACTGAATCACTCGCAGCTTCAAGTGAAATCATCAACTCCACGTCTGTGTTTGTAGGTGCTTCAACCTCAGGTCAGCGGCCCGGCATGTGTCAGTAAGTCTGTGTCCGACTGTCGGACTGACACGACTGACACAAACACTTCACACCTGGTCAGATTTCTACAGACTGACCAAAGATTTAGAACATCTGCCTTCTTTTTACAGCCTGAGGCTTTTACTCACATTTCTGAAGTCCCTGAAAGGGACGAACTGCACGATGTCTCGGACCGCCTCCTCTCCAGCGTTGGACCTCAGCACGCTGGCGTCTCCGTCCAGAAACTCCATGGCGGCAAAGTCTGCGTTTCCCACCCCGATGATGATGATGGACATGGGCAGTTTGGACGCCTGCACGATGGCGTCACGCGTCTCGTCCATGTCGCTGATGACGCCGTCGGTGATGATGAGGAGGTTGAAGTACTGCTGCAGGGAGGAAGAGGAGAAGAAGAAGGGAAGGGAGGTTTTCACAGCCAAACCTGCACCAGATGTTAATGAATGAAAGGAAATCTCGTCACACAATCGCCATGATTATCTTCTCAACAACTCTAACAGTGTGTGAAAAGTGAAATCATAATAATAAGCAGAATGAGCGCTGGCTTCATTATCACAGTCAGACGAGCTGTGTTCTAGTGACGGAGCAGAACATCTGTTCCTGGAGGGAAATTAATTCAACACAACAAGAGCAAAAAGGAACCGTAATTTAATCTTCACAAGGAAATTATACTTCATCTTTGTCAAAGTGAGTTGTAGGTGCTTAGAAGTAAAAAAAAAATATAATAATAAAAAAGGTAGAGGTGGGAAACAGTGTTTCCTCTGTGATGTTGACAGGCAGCGACGGTCTGACTGTCAACATAACCACGAATGTAAACGCACTCTGTCGTTGAAGTTGGTTTTGATTTGAAAAATAACACGGGTTATACTGTAACTAGGGATGTCAGATATTATCGGCCAACAGATATTATCGGCGCAATATTAGTATAATTGAGTAATATCTGCCATATGAAGTGTGAAC